GACGCTCTGCATTTATCCAACACGTGGAGAACGATAATCCAACAGCAGAGCGATGCGTAGAACCATTTCTTAAGAATATATATATATATATATATATATATATATATATATATATATATATATATATATATATATATATATATATATATATATATATATATATATATATATATATATATATATATATATATATATTGAATGCATTCTTTTAAAAGAAAATTGTTTACTTAAAAGTTAGTCAGTTAGTCAGAAAGAATTGAGGAGCTTTAACTAATCAGCTCGCCCTGATCGGTATAATCTTCAGATGAGTTTCCGACATTTTCCCATCTAGGCGACGTAAGGCCCGCTTTAAATTCTATCGGTGCCTAGAACGTTGTATAAAATTTTTAACCGCTTCGATTTAGTTTGTTTATTAAAAACGCGATCCCTGCGGGGCTAAATAACCTCAAAGAAATTATTTTTCGCATAAATGAATAAAATAGCAATTTGGGCCATTTTCTCTAATGCGATCATCTACATTACCCGCGGGTGTACTGAAAACATTTTTCCATACACCGTTGGCGTTAAGTGGATGGTGTGCGTGGGCACTTTTAAGGGAAATTGTGGCTCGTAAAACGACCCTAATGAACGTATTTAAAATAGTGGCTTTCTCGCTTCATGATTTTTCATTGAGGGCAATTTTTTCATAATACAATGCTTTTAACATGGCGACAAAGACACATCAGGATATTTCACTGCTGTAATAAGGTAATTTAAATGTAATTTAAAATTAATTAATTAATTAATTTAAATTACATTAACTTCATACATAATCGTATAAAATTCACTATCGAGATTGAATAGGATAACTCTATTAATTTTTTAGACTTAACTATTACGAAAGTGCAAAACAAATTAGATTTTTCATTATATCATAAACCTTCACACACGGACACAGTCATACATAACAGCTCAAATTTTTTATACACAGACTTCTTAATACGCCACTCTCAATAGAAAATTATAACAAAGAACTTAATATCATTAAACAAATTGCACTCAACAACGGCTACAAACAACCGTTAACTCTATTTGTCCGAAAGTTAATACAGAACACGAACAATTTAAAACAATTACATACATAGGAGAACCTAGTGAAAACGTTTCAAAACATTTGTCAAAATGTAGTTTAAAAATAGCTTTCAGAACTAACAACACAATAGGAAAATTTTGAAAAAACAATAAATCGAAATGTCCAAAATCCCAAAAATCAGGTGTCTACGGGTTGAAATGGGGATCTTGTCCTAAAATTTATATTGGACAAACAGGTAGATCCTTCAAGAAACGCATTAACGAACATATAAGAGCGTTTAAAAACAATAGTCTACATTCTAATTATGCTACACACTTAAATACAGAAAAACACATTTTTGATGACAATTTTGATATATTACATACAGCCACAAAAAAGTAGAAAATTAAATTTATTGGAACCCATGGAGATTAACAAAATGAGACATTGAAATGTATTGCTTAGCGATGAATTAGATTTAAATATCTCTCCTTTATTGAACTTAAATTCTCGCAACAACATTAATTAAGGTTTTATGGTCATTTTGTATGTATGGTCAGTTTGTAAATATTACATTTGATAAAGACACGGTGTTGTCGAAACAATTGTCATGTCAAAATATATAATTTAGTGAAAATCTGAACTTTTAGTTCTTATTTATTTTCATAAATGGATTTTCATCAAGTAAGAGCCTCCTCAGTTCTAACCTTCCCGAATATATAACACAAGGACTTGTTCTCATTTACACAGATGGATGTATAAATTGTCATCAATTGTATTATCAACTGGTCAAAAGCAGTCTTACTGGAATTTAAAACCAAACATCCTGTGGACATCGTTTGAGAATTTTCCACTTCATTTTAGCAGCAATTCCAAATTTTTGGAAATTTCGATTGGTAGTCATTTTAACTGTGATTCACAAATAGATATTGTCTGTTCCAAATTAAATAAATGGTTCTAAATGACAAAACCGCTAAAAACTGGCTTAGTACGCATATCTCACAAGAAACAGGAACATAGGAGTATATCAAATAGACACGTCATTATCTTCGTAGGAAATTTTTTAGTTTGTTACCAAAAGTGTCAGTGAAATCTTTCACTATCCAATTTTCAAAAATAAAATGTAACTACGGAAAAAGTCATTTTGGTTGAAAAAGTAATGCATTAACCTTTTTTCAAAAATACTTCCACAGGCTACTGTTATACTTATTTTAAAACTTCTGGATTCCTCCTGCGTCTTTTTTTGTTTTTATTGAGTCGAACTAGGTATCGTTTCGCCAATCATCCTGCTGGCTTCTTCAGAACTTGACTGAAACTGGTTCGCATTTTATTCAATACCTGCTTTTATATTTTTTGAGGGGGGTGGAGCTAAATGAGGGGCATAAACACAGTCTCGGATGACTGATTCCTATATTAGTGACTAGTAGAGACCTGAGTCGCGGTTAAGATTGTTAGGCTTCTTATAGAATTGATTACATGAAAGAATTTTAGTTTTATTGAGTCTAGTTGATATTTTCAGTTTCAGTCAAGCTCTGAAGAAGCCAACAGGATGATTGGCGAAATGTTAGCTAGTTTGACTCAACAAAAACCGACGTAGGAGGAATCCAAAAGTTTTATAAAAAGTATAATGCATTAACCATCGCATATTATATGATCTGATTTTGTTATATAAATGAGTAACTCCGCTAGCTATTATATAAATAAATAAATAAGGTATTTCCGTGGAATAACGAAAATTGTCAATATGATAATATGTGTGCGTATGTGAAAGCTTATTTTGGTTAAAGCCGTATTGCCATGGTTCAATCAAAGCTTAACTAACGGGAAAATGCGGCTTGTTACTAGTCAGTAAAACGCATTAACGTCCAAATCAATTCAAAATTGTGGAATTCGATTGTGCAAGAGATAGAGAAATTCATTTATGACGTTATTATAGCTTTTACACAAACCACGAAGGTAATGAAAGGCACAATTTTGCAAATATTTTGGTAGAAATAGCAGACAACGTGGAGATTATTCATTTCATAATTTCTATTTCAAAATTTAATAGGATGTAACATAGGGTTGCAAACAATTTTTAATTGAATTATCATATACCATAGTCTTTTTAATTAAAACTATTTAAATGTTAGAGTATCAATTTTTTGTCTAACAATCGTCTAGTCGTCAAAATCGATACATTTGGCAACGTTGCAAATAACTAAAGTTTGTTTTAAGGCACACCAGAACTAGAATGCAATAATGCAGGGATTCTTAAAAATAATAGAATAAGTAGAAACCATGTGTGTAGAACATGTAAATAAACCAAAAAATATGCAGAACAAAGGAATAAATTATATAAGCAGAACTGCTCTCGAGAATTGTGAACCAAAAACCAATGTACAGGACGTAAAGCGTCATCAAATAAATAATTATAAACTTTGGTATATACAAAATACAAAAAAAAACATGAAATATATAAGTAAAGGACATGAGCACTACTAGGCAAGCAAATTTGCATCTAAAACTCTTCAACAGTATAAAAACTGCTTCGAATTAAGTACTTAAAAACTGCGAAATCTGCAATGACATCGTTTTTCATAACAACTATAGAAAACTATGATTTCTGGAAAACAAACATAACTAAATTTAGAGAACTATGAAATATATAACTTCCTTGCTCCTGACTTTAAAACTTTTGTAGAAAACTGGCTACATTATTGAATAAGACATGGGAACATCAATATACATGAAGTGTGTTTACTGTTAACTATGTACAAATTGGTGTATCAATGTTTTTTTTTGCTTCAAAGACCACTAAAAGTTCCTTATTTGACCTCGAAAATCCACATTCAGAGTCACATTTGAGGCTAGAAAATGCTTTTGAATTCTGTTGAAATTGAGGAACCCGCTAGCAATAACTTTTTGAATAAAAAACCGATCACTTAAAATCAATATGCTTAGGTCGGTATGAGGTGAATTGATGTGTGTGTAATGTCGTTGATGATGCTAACCCTGAGACTTTCTCAGCGAAGTTATTCAAATTTAGTATTGATAGAGCTCGCAAGGTTATTGAGTTACTTCGTTTGGAGGTAGTAGATGGTACCTTCATGCACCATTGGTCATGTTTATTGTTTACAATAAAAACAATCAACACAGTTAAAAAAATCTTAGCGTAGTTTATTAAAATAAAATTAGTGATAAATATAATAGGGTAAAATAAGTGTAGATCAACGGAGCAACGCAGTCTCTTCATTGAGAGTTGTTAACTAACTACCCACAAAAGTGCTTCATAGACCCATATGGCCGATATTATTCAGAAGTAGCAATAAATCAAAAAAGACATAAAAGTAACAGCAACCCTTAAACAGCAAAATGTCTAAATGAGGCAGATGTTAAACGAGCATTAACAAATAATACAATTTGGATGCCTGAGCCAGGCCAGGATCAATCTTAATTTGATTTTCACTTGAAGATCATGCCTGTACATCCCAAAAGATCAGTGATTTTTATTATATTTTATTATTTATTATATTGTTGTCTACAGTGCCTACAAGAATTTGAAATTATTTGTTTCTGCGAAGCATACTTTGTGGTATCGATCTTTTTGGTACCAACTCCTTCTACCAGCTGTGGTCTCAACTGTTTCCTCCGACTTTATTTACCCTGTTGCATTATTTTATAACCGCACTTCCTAGTTAGGCTGTATTGCCGTGTATTTTCGTTTCTCAATTGCGTAATACTCCGTGAATAAATAAATACGCTTTGGCACCTCGAACAGAGCCGACTGATTTTCTAGCCTGTAGCCGCGCCGGACACAATGATTTTACTAATTTCATTTCAGTTTCAGATCTTGATGGTGTGGCAACACGTCCCGCGACGCTGTTTGACAAACGTCAACAGAGGAAACGTCGAAAGCACACAGACGCAGAACGCAAATGCATAAACAATCGCCGTCTCCGCGGCCAACTCAGAAACGCTAAGTCAATGTTTGTATAAGTGATGCATCCGGTCGGTTTCTGCGGAAATCTCTAGCGGGCCGCGATTGTTTCTGGTTGACGTGCACTGGACCAATGATTATGGGTTTCGAGTTGTCGTCAGTGTGATCGTCGCGGTTGACATTTTAACGATGGATTTACTCGACTTCGATGCGTTTCTCGCGGCCATGTTGACGATGGTTGCGTTCGCGAACGCTGCCTTGCCGCCCGTCATAAGAATCGGTAAGTTTTCGATATTTATTGAATCTGTAGTAAACGATGGAGGATATGCGCTAGGGTTCCACCTGTGGAGCGCACTGTGGTTCTGCCTGCGGTCATATACCCAAAAAGGTCATAATTTTATTTTGCCCTAAAAACACGTTAAGTTTCTCAGAAATGTCTAATTATGATTATTATAAATGAAAACGTAATTGTGCACTTTTGTATTACGGATTAAAGTGAACTTTTTCGTGTGTGTTCTTACTTGGATTTATATTATAGTTTCGCACTAAAAACTGTGAAAACACGTGGTGCCATAGTGGATATTGCTATTCAAGGTATGTACTTTTAATATTTAGAATTATTAATGTAATTAATATATACAATTTTTTTTTTAATTGAATTGAATTGAATCCCCTTTTTTAGTTTTTTTTTTATTAAACTTTAATACATGTAAACTTTCAAATGCTTTACCTCTCGATAACGCGCAGGTCGATGAAATGCTTGGAACCTCTACTTTAAAACCGAGTATGATGCGATGTCGCCAAATGTCGCCGGATGTGTCAAAAATAGTCAAAAATATTCTTATCCCTTCATGGTTGGCTTTAAATGCACGTATTTTCCATGAGCAATATGAACCTAACGTTTCGTTAAAAAAAATATTTATATCATTCTTTTTGTTATAGTGCATTATATATCTGAGGACTACAATGTTACTGTGTATCCCGAGCCTAGGCTACAATTCGCGGAGAGACAAAACAAACTTTAGTCACCTGGTACATATACTATTTTTTGCACTTTTGGGTCCCGATTTATTAAAGTTGTTTACCAATCTTTTCTTTTTATCAATTTTACACTAAAAAAAATAAAAGAAAATGTACACAAAAAAAACTAGGGTTTTTTTTCTTTTGTTGCAGATCAAATAGTCAAATGCACCTTCACGAGGATGTACCTTTTTAATACTTGATTAGCCAAGAAAGCAGACAAAAATTCCAAAAAAAAAAACCGTGAATTCTTAGCCGAGTAGACTTCTTTGCCCAATAGAGAGGTCGAGAGTATCAACTTGCAAAAAGTTCAGTGAGTATTGGAGACAAACTTCTAGTTCTAGATCAAAACTAGTAGCTAAGCACCAGGAATGGCTTAACATGACCGAAATTTGCTTCCGCTTGTTCAACCAATTCTGTTGGATGAAGTGGCAGAAATCCAGCAGGCCCCGACGATCAAGAGCTGTCAACAAACATGCCAAAAAGATTTTTGCAAGAGTTTGAAGAATGCAGTGAACCATCTAAGCGCCGAAGATTGTCGGAGTTATCTAAAGTACATAGTTCTGCAATTAAATATTTAAAAAAAGATCAGTCCAAAACCTCCAGTTCGCAGAACAATACAGACGAAATACTCTCGCGTTTTGTTGAGGCTAACTTGACCACGCATCAATAAAGATTAATTAAAGATTTTGTTAATTCAAAAATGGCCTCAATTGTCTTTTTTTTCTATTACAAAGTTCTGGGGGCAAAGAAAAAGTGCATCATTCATCATTCGGATGAAAAAGTGTCAGAGACATCTGCAGAAGTTGAACTGCAGTCACTTCTGGATCACACGGCTAACCGGATTCACGAGTCATAAAAACACATTTTGTCAACTCTTCCACTCCAAGGAAACTTAATGTTAATAGGAAAATGGGGTTTGATGGTAGTTCAGGGCATAGTGAATACAAGCAGTAGTTTTCTGATGTAAATACTAGCGATGAAAACCTCTTTGTGACACCCTATGTTCCTCGCCAACCAGTTTGTCAATGAGCAACTTCAGATAATGTTATTGTGTGGTAGAATCGGCGCCCCTCGATTTTGCAGAATTATGCTATTTCAGTTTGCCAAGGAAACTAAAGAACTCTCTTTGCAGGAAGAAACGTATTTTGAAGACAAAATTGAAAATTTGAAGCCAACAATCTTTAAATATGGCGATCGTGAAAAAAAGGTTCAACATTCTTTACAATTGACAATGGTTGACGGTAAAGTATGTTGCTCCTTAGAGGGAACATCGTCAAATAGGTGTTATATTTGCAATGCTACACCTAAAGAAATGAATGATATTGAGGTATGTTTAAGCAAAATTGTCGATACAATTTTCGTTTTGGTTTATCTCCCCTTCACTCATGGATTAGGTGTTTTGAATATTTTATACACCTTTCATATAAGCTATATTTTATAAAGTGCCAAGCTAGATTGCAAAATGAAAAGGTTCTTCTTGCAGACAGAAAATCGGGGATTCAAAAAGATTTTAGGGAAAAGTTGGGCTTAATTATAGATAAGCCGAGCAGTGGAGGAAGTGGTTCATCAAATAATGGTAATACTGGGAGAAGATTTTTTACAAGTTATGAAGTTTCAGCTGAAATAACGGGTATGGATAAAGATCTTATCAAGGGATGTTGTATTCTTTTGCAGGCTTTGGGCTCTGGCTATAAAATTAATTTTACAAAATATCAGAATTACGCTTTAGACACAGCAAAAAAAAATATCCGTGGTATTACCTACCTGCCTTCGTGCACAAAGTTCTCGTGCATGGATTTAAAGTTATTGAAAATGTACTTCTATCGATAGGAGAACATTCGAGTAGCTGCAGAATCTTCAAATAAAAATTTTAATTATGTAAACGTGAAAATACACGAAAAATGTCTCGTGTTCTTGCAAATACAGATGTTCTGCATTGAATGCTTTTAAATTCCGATCCTTTTATTTCTAGTTTAAGAAAATTACCTAAAAGCAGTAAGTCCATTTTATTACCTGAAGTTTTTGATTTATTAGAATTAGAATGACAGTTAAATCAAGCAACCTGTCAACTCATTATAGAATGGTAATCCCGTATCCCTTTTTAATGATATAAAATATTTGTATAGTGAATTTTACTTCTGAAATTAACAACCATAATTAATTATTTGTAATGAGTCTTGCAGTTTGATTACATGACTCATTATTAAATTATAAATTCTATTTAATTTCAATTCGGGAGTAATTAGCCATAGGCATAACGAGGGTTCAGGAACAATTTATATTGATTCTTTAGACCTAATTGTGCCATATTAGTTTAGTTTTCACTTTTATGTGTTTTATTAAAATAATGGGATTGTTTTTTTGAACATATGTTTCCAGCTGTTAATAAAATTTTACTTTTTAAAAATAAATAGTTTTTTGTTTAGTTTTCACTTTTATGTGTTTTATTAAAATGTGAATTTTTTTTGAAGGTATGTTTCTTGCTGTTAATAAAATTTTACTTTTTAAAAATAAATAGTTTTTTTTTTTATATTAAAGTTTAAAAATATGTATTTTTCTTGGAAATGTTGAAATATGCACAAAAACCCCATATTTAAAATATCCCATTAGAGCGAGAATTTGAAATGACCGCATGTCCCATAAGACGGGACCACTGTGGATTTGGATTTTTTCTGTAATATGTCTTATCAATAAATCAAGACGTTCATTATACACTCTAGTGGAGGAGACTTCATTATTTTGGTACAACTTTTGTGCAGCAAAAATTAACGAAAAAGTAGTTCAACTGAAGCTTGAAAAACTGTTGTTTGGATGATTTTTTGATCCAAACAGTTACCTTTTCATGTCAATGCCGTTCAAATACTAGTCAAAAGCGGCATCTTCGGCTTTTATTGTAACGAAAACATTAATAAACCAGCAGATATCAACGTAAAACCGCAATTTCTTTTTCAAATAGTTGCCGATTTCAATTAGATTCCAGTTACAATCTGCTTTTTTGCCTCTTGTACCGAAATCTTCCTTAAAAATGCAAATATAAGTTTAAAACCCCAATTTCTGTGACAAATAATTGTTTTTTTTTTTATTTCGAGCAGATTATATTCAAAAACAAGAGTTTTGGTGTACAGAATTATCGTAATTGGAGTGGTTTAATAGGGAAAGACTTTTGACTTACGTATCAAAGGCTCGATTTTTGAGGAACAAATGGTTAAAACCGGATGGTGAAATGTTCACTAATACCAACTAAAACATAGGTTATTTTTCAATTTTCGGCCATTTCGAAAATTGCCCTTTTCAGCTATATAGATTTGCATGCATGCATGTTGCCTTCATGTCAAGTTTCTTAAAGTCAAGGCAAAGTCAAAACCACTTAAATGAAGACCAGGAAATCCGGGCATTGAATATAATTGGAGAAGTATTTAAAAATCCAAGAATATTCTCACGGGCACTAGCTGACTCAATGCTGGAAAAATTACCGATTTGTCTACTACTAAAAAAACATAAATTCAAGAAAAGTCCGCGAATAACATGAAGGGGACGCCGGTAGGAGAATACAATTTGGAACTGCTTTATGGGAAAATACAGTTGAACAACAATTTTGTATTGAATGTTCCGGAATATTTAACAGATACAAATTCTCATGCTGTAGTGTATCAAAAACGGCAAGATCGCTTTGGATTCAATATAATAATAATAATAATAATAATAATCAACGGCCTTTATATCTTATCTTAGTTGCTTCCATTCAACCTCCTAAAACGAGCATATGACACTATTTATAAAATAAAATATAACATATCAATTACATAGACATTCATTCAAAATGGTAGAGTGAATTCAAAAAAGAAATACATATATACAATTTGATAGTTACTAGTTTTATGATCGGTCTCTATTATGATAAATGTATTGTTCGAGTTTTTGATTGAATGAAGTTAGCGAGGTGATTGATCTCACTTGGAGAGGAAGTTTGTTGTAAGCCTTGATAGCATTGATAGCATTTTAAGTGAAACTACGCTGGAACTGTGCTGAAGTATGTTTGGGAATGGCAAACAGCCCCCTATGGCGAGTATGAACCGAATGAATATCTGTTCCAGGAGTAAGTTTGTCAAAAACATAGGTCGGACGTTGGAGAGATATTACTTTTTTAAGACAAAAAACTACAATTTAAAACGTTCGATTATTGCATTCGGCAACTGGCCGTAAGAGAAGATCAGTTAAGTAAATTTTGGCAGCGTCTAGACTAATTATTCTTCCTTT